CAGACATTAGATACATCCTTGTCTTACCATAGTTTAGCATACTCATATCGTAATCAAAGTACTGAAAGTACTCATGGGAGTTGAACATTGTGATCTGAAAGATCTCACAGGAAGTATAGGAACATCTTCATGCATTCAGATTCAAGTCAGCTAGAACTTATTTGTTAGAGATACAAAACGAAACATTAAAAATGATTTCTATTGCATTTAAATAGCCAAGATCATGGGACTGCTCTTAAATTAGCTGCAGAATTGTAGCTCTCCGAAAAATAAATACTGACAGACCGGAGAGCTACAGTGCTATCCATTGAAAAAACTGTACATGTATGTTTATTGCGCACGAACAGTTAAGTTTAGTTCTGGATTAATTCTTTTTATTCTTACCTCAACAATTTGACCAAACCAAACAAACAACCCCCATCACCAAAAGAAAAAAAAATTCAATCTCGAAAATACTATTTTTGTTGTTAGGTTTTAAACTTCTTTCAGTACCATTTATGACTAAAGCTCAAACACTACCCTAATATTTCTGAAACATTTGAATCAAAAACGCCCCCTACTCTCTTTAGAATGTGTACAAGATATTTGGTCCCAAGAAACAAACAAATAAACACTCTATATATTCGATGTTACCATCACCAGACACTAGATTGTCATTTTTCTTCCTCTGATTAAAACAAATATTTGCTATTGTCTTTTGGGTATGAATGTTTCTTTTCGGACACAATAATTAATTTTTATAGAACTCCATGCTTATCTATTTTATCAAATGTATCTATCTTTATAACTTAATCATCAAGTTTTGTTATTCCATAATTTTAAATTTCATTTCAAGTAATATCTAGGTAGAAGTAAGTATGTCTGAATACTTTACATTTTTTTGTTTAACGTTCGATAATTTTTCAATCATATTGAAACACTTAGTTACATGTAAGTCTACAATTTTTTACCTATACACGGCTCTCAAAACCATTGAGTAGTGAGGGATCGTTATGTGCAAGCACATACTGCGACATGGGATTTCGGTTTATATTGTCTCATCAAAAGAGTTAATCTCTAAATGCATCCCGCAGGATTCGAACCTGCGACGTAAGGATCATTTAACACATTACGTTGAATCTCTAGAGCAAACTATTTTAACAACTGCGCCACGCGAGTGAGACTTAAAGTTTGTGATTTTGATTTGATTCAAATGTAATTAAAAATCAGACATAGTTTAACGAGCTACTACAAGATAAACTAGAGGTACTGTGAGCGATGAGCTCACTAAATGATACCCCCCGCCACCCATATGATTATAACTGGTGAAAAAATGTTTTCCTGTGGCCGGGAAACCCAAAATATGTGTCGGATCAAAAAGTAAAATAGGAGGTGCACAATGGCAATATGTAATAAAGATTCTGTGAAAGTTGCATCAAATTTCATTCAGTGGTATGAGAGGAGTTGCGGATAGGAGATGGGTACCCCAAAGCGTAACAGACGGACGGACGGACAGACCGAAGGACAGACAGACGGACAGACGTACAGACGGACGGAATTAACGATTACTATATACCCTCCCGCTTTTCAAGCGAGGGTATAAAAATAGTTGTAATCATGAGGAACGATCTTTCTCACATTTCGATCATTGGGATTATCATACCATTGTGTCTGTGCATACGCATGTATTCATTATACCCCCCGCTTGAAAGCGGGAGGGTATATAGTAATCGTTAATTCGTCCGTCCGTCTGTCCGTCCGTCCGTCTGCACGTCCGTCCGTCCGTCCGTCCATCTGTTACGCTTTAGGGTACCTATCTCTTATCCGCAACTCCTCTCATACCACTGAGTGAAATTTAATGAAACTTTCACAGATTCTTTATTACATAATGCTCTTGTGCATCTCCTATTTCACTTTTTGATCTGACACTTATTTAGGGTTTCCCAGCCATGGCAAATCATGGACTTTGTCATCAGTTATAACCATATGGGAGGCGGGGATTATTTAGTGAGCTCATTGCTCACAGTACCTCTAGTTAATCTTATAATAACTGTTTTAATTATATAATAAAATCAAATGATACAATTTATAAGGTAATACTGCAATACAAGTACACACACACATTTTTCAAGTTCAGATTTGGTGTTGTACACATGACCAACTGAATGCTGTTAAATTCATGAAATTAAGGATGCAAAATTAATGTCATTGAAATTGTGTGATCAATACAACAAACTTTAATGCTATTATTTTTTTCCTTTACCAACGTAAAAAAAATGAGTTGCATGTATCTGGTCTGACAAAAATTTTCCAGTCTAACAGATCATTTTACTTGTCAGAGCAAATAAATATTTTCCACGGTGTTTTTTTTTTTTTAAAAGAAACGTTCCGTCTCTTTATTGCTGAAACAAATTGAAAGAAGTTTGGTTAAACCTTAGCGTTCCTTTCCTTACATCTTTGTTTACGTCTCTATATTTAGACAATCGCGTAATTGTCAAACCAGTTAGACCAGTTGTTGCTCCTTGGATGACCTAGCACTTTTTGTAATGAAGCGTAGTGGAGTCAGCCGAGGATTGCCGAATGATAAATGTCGGAAAACTGGGATTTTTTTTCATACGGAAATCAAAATTTATGTGTCATTTCTCAAGAAAGATGACTAAAACATGCTATTCAAATTAAGTTTAATAAAATTCTATTTCATTTACTTTCAAATCATTTATGAAAATTAGATTAATTCAGAAAAATGAGATGGACTATTCTTATAGCGGAAGTTTCTTTGAGTTTATATAGACTGGTACGAGTTTGTATTGAGTATCACAGGGGAGTAAATTGGGCGACACAGAAACACCACGACGACCGCTATATAATTCATTGAAAAATTACTGCACTAGAAACCGCGTGACAGCCTAGGGAGTCTGAACATATTTCAACTCCCAAAAATGTAAAATGAAATGAAACGTTAAACTTACCCTGTACCAGGAATATCTTTTCTGCACCACCATTTCGTCTTCATTACAACCGCTGTACATTTCAAATGGAATTCTCTTGAGTTTTTTTCGTCGGTATGATATTTCTACGCAGGTGCGAACAACATACAAGCTACTTCCGCTTCTAATTGCAACACCGCATGCACAGGAAGCTCTTCTCCAACGAAAGCACGAAGAGTATAAGACATGGACCTATTCAACAGAGAAAAATGATTGCTAATTAAATCAATGAATGTCCGTATTGGAAATCACCTGGAATTTTAAATTGAAACATACAGAATACGGCAATTTTTTATGCTGGTACATAACGAATTCTCCAATTCTCTGGTTGGAATAAAAACGTCGATCAAAGGTGGAGAGGTACGGATCACTGAAGGAGTAGCAGTAGTGTCCTCCCCATTTAGATTTATCATAGACAGAAACCTGCAAATTGAATCTGTACATTTATATAATGAATTCTTTAACATGAGATAAGCGTATTTAAAGATTGTGATCTTTTTTGTTAAGTGCTAGGGATTTTTTAAAAATATACTGAAATCTTTAAATATATATAAGATCATGATGTACCCATATAGTCTGCGGAACATAGATATTATTCCAGGCATTAGAAACATCTGTTGGGTTTGTGGAAGATTCCAGCTTTATTCCTCCGTATCGCCTCCGCCAGTTGCGTCTTCCATCTACGTACCCTGTGATGTTGAGTTGTACGGGTTCCCGCCAGTACTTGTGCGGAAAGGACAACATGCAGCCATTATCTGGAAATGCTACATTCAAATTGGTGATACCGTTCCGACACCAACGCCAATCCAGGGAGCGGATGTGTAGATTTCCCTTACATTTAGCCTCTTTATCAGAATCTGTCATTGAGGCAGAGCAGCCAACCGGAGCGTACTTGTGACCGACACAGAAACGCTTTCTCCTTCTTCAACAGTGGTCCATGTTGTACTGAACTTAAATTTGAAAAAAACACGGGACATTATATGTTTACATTGTAAATAACCAAGCTTTGCATGAAAAATTTAACGTTTAAAAAATTAGGTTGACAAAGATTATATATATATATATATATATATATATATATATATATATATATATATATATATCAGAAGTCCATGAATTCACAGTGGTCGGTATAATTGTATAGTACTTTCAAATGAAAAAAATGAAAAAATGAAAGCGCTAATGCTTTACTTTGTTGTCTTCGTGTTTTCTTTTTAATTATTTTTTTAATATATATATATATATATATATATATATATATATATATATATATATATATATATATATACATATATATATATATATATATATATATATATATATATATATATATATATATAAAAGCACTAAAAAACCAACTTCACTGTATATCCTAAATGTCGGATCTACCAAGTAGATACAAGGTCACGGATGGAAATTTATATAAAGCACTAAAATGACCAACGACACGAACAATAAAAATTGACAAACTTAGTTACATGTTGAATTGGAAAATTTTAAAAATTCTTAAAAATTTCCAATTCAACATGTAACTAAGTTTCTAAATATATAGTGTTTAGTAGTAGTGCTAGTTGTTTTTGTTTTTCTTTTAATTTTCCTTTGTTCTTATGACCTTTGAACTTTTTTCTTTGTCCTGAGGAAGGGACAGGGCGTCCCGAAAATTTGACAATTTTTATTGTTCGTGTCGTTGGTCATTTTAGTGCTTTATATATATATATATATATATATGTGTGTGTGTGTGTGTGTGTGTGTGTGTGTGTGTGTGTGTGTGTGTGTGTGTGTGTGTGAGTGTGTGTGTGTGTGTGTGTGTGTGTTGTAGCTTACCTTTATGCCTGCGAAAAAGGTTGAACTTTTAAATGATTCTCCAGCAGGGCTGCATTTCACGTACTGGGGCTCACTGAACATCTTACCTTAAAAGCAAATATCCATTCTAACTAAGCAGTAAAACAATCAGAAACAAATGAGCATGGTACAATTTACTCGTGAAATGTACAGTAAAAGCGATGAAATTAATAACTTTGCAGAAGGTATAAGCTAAGCCTCTATAGTAAGTTTTGTTTTCTCGTCACTTACATCCATGTTCATGCTATAGCGATGTGTCCAGTGTGAAGGACGGAGTACTGTAGTGTTAAGGTCAGCCTCGGCCACGTCATCAAATAAAGCTTTTTCCAATAGATTGTTGTTGATAAACCATTTAAGATTGTAAAAAAGGCCGGACAAGGGCTTCCAGAAGAGACAGATCATCACAGGCTCGAATCTAGTACCGTCTGTAGAAAGTTGTCGATCGGCAACGACCTCAGGGGATAGGATGACTGTCGGTTTCCCAACCAAATCTTTAATTATAAAATAAAATGTCTTTATAGGACATAGCAAACCTTCAATCAACCACTACGGTGCTAATATTCCCGTAACTATATTTCTCTTGGAAATGAAATAAGGATGGGATAAAAAGATCCCTGGATAAATATCATACTTAAAAGATTGATATAAAATCATTAAGAGATAAGAATTTATTTACTATTTAAAATGCAAGCATTTGATTGGATGATTCAAGGTTAGTAAGGTGTTATTCTAATGCATGCGCGTCACCGCATTTCATTGATAATAATAAAGTGGTCAATTAATACATCTCGAATACACTTACCCAGTGCATTAAGTGTAGTGGCCACATTGACTGTTGGGGTGGAATTTGCAGCAGAATCCTCTGTTGTTGTATTGTGAGATTTCGGTGTGTTTTCAGGCGTCGTAGAGTCCGTGACATTATAATCCTCGGTTGATGAGTAGTCCGTTGTGTTGTAAACTTCTGCTGTTGTGTAATCAGTTATGTTATAATCCTCTGTCGATGTAAAGTCCGTTGTGATATAATCCTCGGTTGATGTAGTATTATAATCTTCAGTGGATGTAAAGTCCGTAGTATTATAATCTTCAGTGGATGTAAAGTCCGTAGTATTATAATCTTCAGTGGATGTAAAGTCCGTGGTGTTATAACCTCCGTGGATGTAAAGTCCGTAGTATTATAATCTTCAGTGGATGTAAAGTCCGTAGTGTTATAATCCTCAGTAGATGTAAAGTCTGTAGTGTTATAGACTTCAGTGGATGTAAAGTCCGTGGTGTTATAATCCTCCGTGGATGTAAAGTCCGTAGTGTTATAATCTTCAGTGGATGTAAAGTCCGTAGTGTTATAATCCTCTATGGATGTAAAGTCCGTAGTGTTATAAACTTCAGTGGATGTAAAGTCCATTGAGATATAATCCTCGGTTGATGTAGTGTTATAATTCTCAGTAGAGTCCGCAGTGTTATAATCCTGGTCGATGTAAAGTCTGTAGTGTTATAATCCTCAGTGGATGTAAAGTCCGTTGTGTTATAATCTTCAGTGGATGTAAAGTCCGTTGTGTTATAATCTTCAGTAGATGTAAAGTCCATAGTGTTATAATTTTCAGTGGATGTAAAGTCCGTAGTGTTATAATCCTCGGTGGATGTAAAATCCGTTGTGTTATAATCCTCAGTTGATATAAAATCCGTTGTGTTATAATCCTCTGTGGGTGTAAAATCCGTGGTGTATAATCTCTGGTGGATGTAAAATCCGTAGTGTTGTAATCCGCGGTGGATGTAAAGTCTGTTGTGTTATAGTCCTCAGTGGATGTAAAGTCCGTGGTGTTATAATCCTCTGTGGGTGTGAAGTCGGTATGTATAATCCTCGGTGGATGTTAAGTCCGTAGTGTTATAATCTTCAGTGGATGTAAAGTCCGTTGTGTTATAATCTTCAGTAGTTGTAAAGTCCATAGAGTTATAATCTTCAGTGGATGTAAAGTCCGTAGTGTTATAATCCTCAGTGGATGTAAAGTCCGTAGTGTTATAATCCTCAGTTGATATAAAATCCGTTGTGTTATAATCCTTTGTGGGTGTAAAGTCCGTGGTGTAATAATCCTCGGTGGATGTAAAATCGTCATGTTGTAATCCTCGGTGGATGTAAAGTCTGTTGTGTTATAGTCCTCAGTGGATGTAAAGTCCGTGGTGTTATAATCCTCTGTGGGTGTGAAGTCGGTAATGTTATAATCCTCGGTGGATGTAAAGTCCATTGTGTTATAAACCTTGGTGGGGGTAAAGTCCGTTGTGTTAAAATCCTTTGTGGGTGTAAAGTCGGTAGTGTTATAATCCTCTGTGGGTGTGAAGTCGGTAGTGTTATAATCCTCGGTGGATGTAAAGTCCGTTGTGTTATAATCCTCGGTGGATGTAAAGTCCGTTGTGTTATAATCTTCAGTGGATGTAAAGTCCGTTGTGTTATAATCTTCAGTGGATGTAAAGTCCGTAGTGTTATAATCCTCAGTGGATGTAAAGTCCGTAGTGTTATAATCCTCAGTTGATATAAAATCCGTTGTGTTATAATCCTCTCTGGGTGTAAAGTCCGTGGTATTATAATCCTCGGTGGATGTAAAATCCGTCATGTTGTAATCCGCAGTGGATGTAAAGTCTGTTTTGTTATAGTCCTCAGTGGATGCAAAGTTCGTGGTGTTATAATCCTCGGTGGATGTAAGTCGATGTGTTGTAATTTGCGGTGGATGTTAAGTCCGTTGTGCTATAATCCTCGGTGGATGTAAAGTCCGTAGTGTTAAAGTCCTTAGTAGATGTAAAGTCCGTAGTGTTATAATCTTCAGTGGATGTAAAGTCCGTAGTGTTATAATCCTCTGTGGGTGTGAAGTCGGTAGTGTTATAATCCGGTGGATGTGAAGTCCGTTGTGTTATAATCCGCGGTGGATGTAAAGTCCGTTGTGTTATAATCCTCTGTGGGTGTGAAGTCGGTAGTGTTATAATCCTCTGTGGGTGTGAAGTCGGTAGTGTTATAATCCTCGGTGGATGTAAAGTCCGTTGTGTTATAATCCTCGGTGGATGTAAAGTCCGTTGTGTTATAATCCTCTGTGGATGTAAAGTCCGTTGTGTTATAATCCTCGGTGGATGTAAAGTCCGTTGTGTTATAATCCTCTGTGGGTGTAAAGTCCGTGGTGTTATAATCCTTGGTGGATGTAAAGTCCGTAGTGTTATAATCCTCGGTGGATGTAAAGTCCGTTGTGTTATAATCCTCTGTGGGTGTGAAGTCGGTAGTGTTATAATCCTCGGTGGATGTAAAGTCCGTTGTGTTATAATCCTCTGTGGGTGTGAAGTCGGTAGTGTTATAATCCTCGGTGGATGTAAAGTCCGTTGTGTTATAATCCTCTGTGGGTGTGAAGTCGGTAGTGTTATAATCCTCGGTGGATGTAAAGTCCGTTGTGTTATAATCCTCGGTGGATGTAAAGTCCGTTGTGTTATAATCCTCTGTGGATGTAAAGTCCGTTGTGTTATAATCCTCGGTGGATGTAAAGTCCGTTGTGTTATAATCCTCTGTGGGTGTAAAGTCCGTGGTGTTATAATCCTTGGTGGATGTAAAGTCCGTAGTGTTATAATCCTCGGTGGATGTAAAGTCCGTTGTGTTATAATCCTCTGTGGGTGTAAAGTCCGTGGTGTTATAATCCTTGGTGGATGTAAAGTCCGTAGTGTTATAATCCTCGGTGGATGTAAAGTCCGTTGTGTTATAATCCTCTATGGGTGTAAAGTCCGTTGTGTTATTATCCTCGGTGGATGTAAAGTCCGTTGTGTTAAAAACTTCCGTCGATGATAAGTCTATTGTATCAGTCGACGTAAAGTCTGTTGTATTGTAATCTTCCGTTGATGTAAAATCCGTTGTTTTAAAATCTTCTGTAGAAGTAAAGTCTCTTGCTGTATCCACTTCCGTTGTTATGTAGTTCGTTGTGTTATTATATTCTGTCATTGTGTAGACCATCGTGTTATTATCTTCCGTAGATGTTTTGTCTGTTGTGCTATTAACTTCTGTTGTCATTTTGTCCGTGGTGCTCTCGATCTCTCATGGTTATGTGATCTGCTGTATTAAACACTTCAATACTTGTGTACTCCGTCGTGTTATTAACTTCGTATGAATATTGTTCAGTGTTGGTTGAATATTCTATTGTTACTTGATCAGTTGTGGTTGAATAATTGTTTTTCCTTGTTCAGTGCTTGTTGAATATTCTGTTGTTTCTTGTTCAGTGTTGGTTGAATATTTTGCTGATTCCTGTTCAGTGTTGGTAGAATATTCTGTTGTTTCCTGTTCAGTGTTGGTTGAATATTCTGTTGTTTCTTGTTCAGTGTTTGTTGAATATTCTGTTGTTTCTTGTTCAGTGTTTGTTGAATATTCTGTTGTTTCTTGTTCAGTGTTTGTTGAATATTCTGTTGTGTCTTGTTCAGTGTTTGTTGAATATTCTGTTGTTTCTTGTTCAGTGTTTGTTGAATATTCTGTTGTGTCTTGTTCAGTGTTGGTTGAATATTCTGTTGTTTCTTGTTCAGTGCTGGTTGAATATTCTGTTGTTTCTTGTTCGGTGTTTGTTGAATATTCTGTTGTTTCTTGTTCAGTGTTTGTTGAATATTCTGTTGTGTCTTGTTCAGTGTTGGTTGAATATTCTGTTGTTTCTTGTTCAGTGCTGGTTGAATATTCTGTTGTTTCTTGTTCAGTGTTTGTTGAATATTCTGTTGTTTCTTGTTCGGTGTTTGTTGAATCTTCTGTTGTTTCTTGTTCAGTGTTGGTTGAATCTGTTGTTTCTTGTTCAGTGTTTGTTGAATATTCTGTTGTTTCTTGTTCAGTGTTGGTTGAATATTCTAGTGCTTCTTGTTCAGTGTGGGTTGAATATTCTGTCGTTTCTTGCTCAGCGTGGGTTGAATATTCTGTTGCTTCTTGCTCAGTGTTTGTTGAATATTCTGTTGTTTCTTGTTCAGTGTAGGTTGAATATTCTGTAGCTTTATGATCAGGATCTGGAGTGAGTAAATCTGTTTTTGATCAGTTGTGGTTGAATTTTTGGCTGTAGCTTGATCTGTTGTGGTTGGATATTCTGTTATTCCTTGATAAGTAGTGGTTGATTTTTCTGTCATCAGATGGTCATCAGTCGTAGAATATTCTGTTTCTTGATCAGTTGTGGTTAAGTATTCTGTTGTTTCTTGTTCAGTAGAGGTAACATATTCTGTTGTTGCTTGATTAATATCGCTCCAATCTTTGGTGGTTGAGTAATCAGTGGAGGTTGAATATTCTGCTGCTGACTGGATGGTAGTATTTTGTGTATTTTCCATCGTTAGGTGGTTATAAGAGGTTGAAATTTCCGTTTTATCACTAGTTAGCATAGAAACATCTTTTGTTGCATTGTTGGTGGTAGTTGAAACTTCCCTTGTTTCTTGATCGGTAGGATATTTTGTTGCAAAATCTTCCGTTTTCAAAGACGTTTCTGTTGTATATTCAATGGATGAGTCGGAAACCGAAGAATCGATATTTGATGTCGTCGAGTTTTCAATGAAAGGGACTTTTGTATCGGATGATGATAAAGTATCTGTAGTTAAACGTTGCGTATAATCGGGTGACGTATATTCAGTCAGTGTGGAAGTATCAGATTGACCCATCTCCGTATCCTCTGCGGTGACAACACTAGATAATTCATCCTTCAATGTCGTTTGCTCTGATTCTATATCAGGAGTTTTAGTTGTGTAATCTGACTTTGTGGATTCTAAACCTGTTTCGGTTGTGTTTTCGAGGTTTGTTGCATTTGAAGTTGTTCTGTACCCGATCGTTGTTGATGTCTCTGTAAGAACAAATTAAACTCGAATTCAAGAAGTCAACGTCTATTCAAAATGAGGATACATTGTTTTCGAAAAATGTAATGAATGAAATATGGTTGCTACAGGCTAAAATACAGTGAAAACGAGGAAGCATGTAAAAATTTCACTATGTGTATAATAAAAAGTGTTCCGTTCCTCCTATTATTCTACGCTAGATTGTCCATTATAGATTATTACATTATTGAAAAGTAAAGTTCTATTTCTGCAATGTATTTGCAATATTTATGTTTAGTGTTGGTGCGATGATGTAGGACTTTTATCATTAATAATGATCAAAATTCTTGTATTGAAAGGTATAAGATATGATAAAACATTCAAGAATTCTCGATGTGTTACTTAGTTATTTAAATAAGATAATTCTTTATAAATGTGGATTTAAAATGTAGTTGTTCTTCCTAAGAACTTATTTGTATATATAATGATAACAACGGCAGGGTATATGCTCATATTTCTGTGTTAATTACCTGAAAATTTGGGAACAATACAAAAGGCACAGACAGAGAACGACCAACCGTCTCCTGGATAACATGCTTTTGGAATTAAAAATTGATTGAATGTAGAAATAACAAGAGGCCCAGGGGCCCTTTATAGGTCACCTGAAGAACATGTAACAACTTTCCAACAGCTGAATTTGGTTTGACTATTTTAAACCAAAAGCCTTGAAATTCACAATTTTGAAAGGGGCACCATTGTTTATCATAACAATACACATAACATGCTTTTTTTGGTTACTTAATACCCAAAGGCAGATCAGAGTAACAGAGACAAAATGCATTTCCACTTTATAACCACGAGTTGCGTACCAACCCAGAGGACAACTGACCCTGGTGCCAGGTTTCAAAATTTTGGAAATTTTATACATTTCATTTCATGGGTGATTTAAATACTGTAGAAGTACTTTTTCTGCATGGTATTAATTTGTGCTTTGTACGCGGTCAGAAATTTTCCGCGGAAATTTGTACAAGCATACTCAATATAAAAGTAAGGCATATAATGAAAAACTAGAAAAACCGCATAATTTTCTTTCGGCTGAATAAACAGAAATTAAGATTCCCCGGAATTATACCCGTGGAAAAAAGTACCAGTATGAAAGAGCAGATTTCAAAGTATTACTTTTTTCAACTTACATGTAAACCCTCCCCACTCTGCAGAACCCCTAAAGCAGGGGCCCTGAAATTAACAATTTTGGAAGAGGCACCTTTCTTCATCATAAATATATACTTAGATCATTGGCATTATACCAAGGAGCAAAGAAAAAGATTTCCAAAGAATTCATCGTTTTCACAATATAATCATTATAGAGCCCCACCCTAACACCAAACCCCTGACCCAGGGGCCATGAAATTCACAAATTAGGAAGAAGCATCCTTTTTCATCATAACTATGTACACAGTTCATTGGTTTTATACCCAGGAGCATAGAAGAAGATTTTTAAAGAATTTATGCATTTTCACTATCAACAGAGCCCCGCCCTAGCACCAGAACCCCTGACCCAGGGGCAATGAAATTCACAATTTTGGACAAGGCAGACTTATTCAATATAACTATGTACTTGATTAGTTTATTTCAATCCCAGGAGATGAGATGATTGTTAATTGAATAAATCTACTTTCAGTTTATATATAATTGAAGAGCCCCGCCCTAACACCAGAACCCCACACCCATGAGCTATGAAATTCACAATTTAAGAAGAGACATTCTCGGTCATCATAACCATGTACTTAAATTGTTTGTTTAATACCCAGGAGCAAAGAAGAAATTTTCAAAGAATTAATGCATTTTCACTATATAACCAACAAGCCCCGCCTTAACACTAGAACCCCTGACCCAGGACCATAAAATTTCACCCAAATTTGGAAGAAGCAGCCTTTCTTATAATAACTATGTACATAGTTCATTGGTAAAAAATCCAAGTGCAGAGGAGAAGATTTTTAAAGAATTTATGCATTTTCACTATTTAATCAAAAGAGGCCCGCCCTAAAAACCCGAAACCCTGACCCTGGGCCATGAAATTCACAATTTTAGAAAAGGCAATCTTATTCAAAATAACTATGTCCTTGGTTAGCTTATTTAATTCCCAAAGAGCAAAAGAAGATTTTCAAAGAAATAATGCATTTTCACTATACAGTCTATTTAGCCCCGCCCTAGCAGTACACCCCTGACCCTGGGGCCATGAATTTCACAATTTTGGTAACGACTCAATGCTAATTACAATCATGCAACAGTTTGACTGTTTGAAGTCCAGGAGCATAAAAGAAGATTTTTAAAGATTGCACTTATTTTAGTGGTTTTGGCCACACTCCTCGAGCCCCAGGGGGACAGGGACCATGAAATTCATAATTTTTGTTTCCACTTCACCTAAAAATGCTTTGTGCCAAAATTGGTTGAAATTGGTTGAACGGTTTCAGAGAAGAAGCTGAAAATGTTCAATTGTTAACGCACGGCACACGGCGCACGAACGGACAACAACGGATAACGGAGTTTACTCAGGTGACCTAAAAGGAGAAAAACTGATCCATTCAAACAAAAAAGTTGGTAAAAGAAGACCATTTACTGTAAGAGCTTATACTTTTCTTATTTTAATTTTAGATATGGTTTGGAATAAAATAAAAACTACCCCTTTTGGATTTGGAAAAGTCATAAAGAGAAATAAAAGAAAAATGTTTTTGTGTATTTACATTTTTTTTAAACAATAAATAATACCCTAGTATATATTTTAACTTACATCAACAGACAAAGAAATCACGAAAACGTATTATAAAAGGTTATGTTTGAAAAGTATAAAAATTAATAAAACCCTCATGACATATAAAAGTGTTTGTAAATAAGAATTTTGTACCGAAAAGTACCATTTCAATATTTATGCCTGATTTCTAAGTTTATCTCTCAAAATGTTAGGGTTAGGGTGGGCATCCCCTTAACAGAAATACATTAAGTAGAGATTTGTGACTAGTCCTTAAAACACGGACTCTTGTCAATCCACTAATGGCATCAGGTACCCAGGCGGACTAAGCCTCCCCTTAAAAAGGTCTCACATTCAACACGTGTCTTGTACTAGTTAAAGAATTATTAAAAGATACACCTGCTTTTTATGCATCTTACAGTCACAGTGTCTGATCATTGTCAACGAAAGTTGACATAAACGAATAGTGGAAGGAACTTCTTGATAACATTTGATTTTTCAACATTAAATCAATCTGAATTTCAGAAATCATGAAATGTCAAAAGTTTTGATACAAATATCTTTCAAGAGTAGTAAAATTGAGAATTCTAAATTAATAATGGGATTAAGGAAGGACAGGAAAATAAAATAGAATTGGGGAAAATCAAACAGGTTTGCCATTTTAGAAAATTAAAATTAAATTCAGTAACATGAAAAGTTTACCTGAATTATCTAATTTCCGAATAATATGGACGTCTGTGAGTCGATCCCATCCCTATGCGAGATCATGATTACCTGATTAATCAATGAAAAACTTAGCCGTATATTCTAATATTGAAATTTAATATGATTCTTTAAAAAGACTACGTTCTTGCAACCAACGGATTTAAAGGTTCGGGTGCACTCCTTGTTCGGGCGAATAAAACAGATTTATATGCGTGTGAAATAGGAGGAGATTATTTAATTAGAAACTTAATGAAGCCATTATTTCAAATGATATTTTTTTTTAAAACAGTAGATTTTGTGCATCGATATTATCATTCACATAGCAATTAATTCCGGTAAATCTATTGAAGGTTTTTTCTTGGTATTTTATTTTGGAAAATATGCTAAGAGGTTAAGGATATTGGAAGATCTTCGATGAATCCGTTCTCTTTAACTTAACTCTTTCTTTGCAGGTATCTAATATGCATTGTATACAGCCTTGTTTAACATGAACAGTTTACAAATTTATTTTCAATGGACGATTTTTCAAAATTTACCATCGACTTTAGTGAATGTTACGAATTTATTTTCATTCATTCACAGGAATTAATGAATATCCTAGGCTTTGGGCCCATTCTTTAACTCTAATTTTTAAAAAATTTTAAAAAAGGTTATTTTTTCACGATCACGACAAAGAGCAGTCGGGGGGGATACAGGTGAAAACCTTCTTCTGCCCCAATTAACTTCATTTCTTTTTTAAAATGCTGCGTTTTTCCCCTTTGATTATACTGAGATTTATTTCTGTCCGTTATCTTCATATTTCATCCTTCGCTTTTATAGCCTGGTTTTTTTTTGATGCCAAAGGAGGAATGTTTTTCAACCGAAACATCAAATTGATAGGGGCCATGGAGGAGCAAAAACCCCAGCTGACCATCACACCCTCCGGGGCTCCTTGTCATGATGGGGAAATAACGTAAACATGTGCAATTAGTGTATAAATAATGGACTAACAATTATATGAAAAACGTCAGTCTCAATATAAATTGTATTTGCTTACAAGGTCATTGTATGACCACAGAATTTACGAAATGATCCCTTTTAAACAAAATGTTAATTTTCTTTTTTCATCAACTTGCATGTCAATAATTTACCTGTTTTAAAAATTTTTCGCTCTCTCTGCTTGTGTATAAATAAACTGGTTTAATATCTCCGTATGCAGGGATGAAGGTATATTGCCATAAGAAAGGGAAGTTGACGATGAAAAGTTAAAGTCCCCGTTTCTTAGTTTGGGTTTTAGATTACCATTCGCGTCTTTTTCAATTAAAATATCCAAGTATGAAACAGATGTGAGACTCTGTGGTATTTTTTATTAAACCCCCCGGTTTGTATGACGTAGAAATGGAATTAACCATTGTTAATTGACAATACATGTAAATATTAAATGTATTTGAAGGCCACAGCAAGTGTTTTTTTTTTCACGCATAAATTATCACAACTTCTGTTTCATATAAATAAAAAAATATGTCGGCTATTAAAAAAGAATTTTCCCCCGGGGAATTTCCAAAATTGTTGGAAACCTGGTCTCCAAAAACCACATAGATATTATCAAAAATAAGCATTCTTATTAAAATGTAACTTCAAGTTTTGTGGGGCAATAAAAATATTTTTTAACAAAGAAATTTTTAAATGACCAAGGAAAAGGAAAGTTAATTTTACAATTTCCCTTTTTTTTATTAAAAAAATGTAATATATAAAAAGCCTATTTAATTTATCGTGGGGAATGGTTGTGTATAAAGTTGAAATCGTAAGTTTTGGAGATGTTATTTTTGTAAATTTTGTGATTTCAAAATTTCCAAAACTCTTTTGGGAAATTTTTGGTATCCCACATCGTTCACACTCTTGAAGTTTTTTCCCTTTACAACTGTCAATATCTTAGTGAGTAGAACGAAAAAGCTTTTTGAACATTTTCTAACCCCAAGTATTTTTTTTTGTAAAGGGTTTTTATGAAGTTTCAATTTAATATTTATAGGGAAATTTTAAAAACCTTTTGGTTTGGAATATTTAAATTAATAAACCACAAATATTTTAAAACTCCCAGAAAGGGGAAATATTTAAGGGATTACCACTTTAGAAAAAAAGTTCTTCTAAAATATAATTCATATAATGAGCATTATAAAAAAAAACAATGTTGTTTCCTGCTTGTTGGAGGGGGCTGTCTCTGATCATGTAATCTATTAATTTTTTTTACCTCTGATTCTGAAAACAGAAGGATAGATGATTTTTATATTGCCCCTAATTTTCTAATTTTTTTTACTTCACAAATTTAATGGTTAAAGTCAAAAACTGGATCTTTTTCATGTAATATATTTAAATTTACCAATTTTTAGAAAAATTGTTTTGGGTACCATTTTTTTTAAATGAGACATAAAAAAAAAAAAAAAGTAAATGTAAAATGAAAAAATTGTAGCTTTTTGTAAACAGTATAAATTAAAAAAAAACTGGTTCAAATCAAAATTTATCTAATTTCCAAAATTTGCTATTAAAAAGATTTTTTAGATTGTGAATATGAAAACTATTTTACATTGAATAAAAAAAAATCAATAAAGAAAATGCCTGAATGAAACCTAAAAAGAGTTACTGTTTTTGTTAACCCTTTTTAAAGATTAAAATTATTGTTTTAATATTAAAAATGTAATTTTAAATTTTTTAATTAAAAAAATCATTACACCTATTGAAAAGCATTTTTCCCAAAAGAACTTTTCTATTTGATAATTTAAATTTAATGACAGTTTTGCAAAAAACCCATGAAATCATAGGAGGGTGGAATAAACCTTAAAAGGAATTTTAAAAAATTATAAATTAATCCAATTACAAGTAAATATGTCAAAAAAGGAACTTTTTAGCTAAAAAACGGCGCCGCGTAACCTAAACGTAAACAAAGGTAGGACGTCCTTCCAACGCTGGCATAGAAGTGAAATAAGGGGCTTTTGGATATGCCCAAAAAGTAGGTGTGTCACGGTAGGCGTTGGACATAAAGAAACCCCCACTGCTAATGGCCCCGATAGTATAGGTCTAAATTTGAAGCCCTTCACCGGACGGTGACGTCTCCCTAGATGAAAAATTTAAGGGGACGTTTAAAAAATATACAATCAATCAATAATAAAATAAAAAGTCCATTAAACATGAAAAATTGGGGGAAGAAAAGGATCTCCCAAAAAACCCCGGAGGGGAAACGGTTCTTTATGGTAAATCAACTGCCCACACTCCCATTGTCTCCTTATCATGATTGGAAAAAAGGGAAAAATTTTGGGACAAATTTTTGTGAATAATGGCCCACAATTGGTATGAAAAAGTAAGCTGGCATTTGATTGAACATAGATTGTTATTATACAGGCACATCAGGATTTTACATGATATTTAATAAATTTAGGCTACTTAGTTTTTCTTTTAAAGATATTATTTCGTAAACAAATATACCCCTTTTATTCTCCGTTCAGGACACGGTGGGTGTGACCGTGAAGGGGATGCTCACTCCCCCATACATTGATTCAACCTCCGTTTTGTAGGTCCCCGTTTGTATGCTCCTTTTGTATTTTTAAAGGGGGTTTTAAGCTTGGAAACTGTTCGTTATCTCCATATTTCAAAAGATCAAATGCCAATGCCCCAGTTTTTTTTTTACAGACCAGCTGCAAAAGCTATTTATAATGCTTTTTAGATATAATTTATAAAAACATCATAAAATTTTAAAATTCAATAGAAAATTCTTAAATGGAAATAAATTTAAACGAAACAAAAACAAATTAAAATTTTTTCTTTTTCCAAATATTCAGTAAAAAGTACGGTAAATTATTAAAAAACCCCTTTTTCAAAATTTTAAACAGATATTAAAAAATGGGTTTTTTAAAAAAAAACATAACATTAACAATCATTTTAAAAAAAAAAAAAAAAATCAATTTATTAACAAGAGAAATGTAATGTTTAATTTGAATAACAAAAAGGAAGGCCGGGAATTGATTAAAAATTCACCTAAACCAATATTTACATTAACAAAAAATTAAAAAAAAAAGTCTTTAAAAAGTACATTAAATTTATAAAATAAAATATTTTTTTAGACATAAAAATTTTTTTTTTATACCAAAATTTTTTTAAAACCTTGTACAAAAAGAAATGCATTTCGAATCTTCACAAATGACATCAAAATTCTCCAATTACAGTTTATAATACCAAACAAAGAAGTTTTCTTAGAATATGAAAATAATGATTTAATCCAACTTTGCATTACTAAAAATATGGACAAAATTATTAAAGGTCTACAACACATAATGATAAAGTTCAGACTATTGAGGTAAGTGTTTCCAGTATCAAAATAAGACATTGGCACGTGATAGATGCTGCATCCAGATTGTCTTCAAGAATTAAAATCTTAATTAAAAGAAAAATTAAATATACAATTGTATCTCAATAATTGTCACAACATCCTCACTAAAATTTAGGTGTATTTAGGGGGAATAAATATTTTTATCTTGCAGAACGGTAAATTTTAAAACAAAAAAAGTAAGAAAAGAAAAATCAAACAGCCAATTTACAAGATTTGCATTTGTTTCCATTAAATGAGATGCTTGAAAAAAAAAACCGCTAAAATTTAAATTAAATTTTTACATGTAAACACATTGCAAAAAAATAAAGCACAGATAAACTTTTACGAAAAAACTTTTTTAAGATTAAAATTCACACACAGTTTTTCCTCATGATAATTCGGTTAAGTCCAAGCCAGAAAAAAAACAATTTTAAAAGGAAATTCAAAAAAATTTTCCTATTGAACCTCAAAAAAAAATAAAAAATTTAAAATTATAAAAAAAATTTTTAAAGTACTTATGCAGATAGGGGCAAATAACACTTTTAACTTAGCAGGTATATTAAAAAATGTCGTTCAAATTATTTTATTTATATCCCTCTCAAACATTTTTAAAAATTCTGAATATTTTTTGATAATTATTTTTTCTTTCAAATTTATCTTAATCATGTTTTTGTTTTTAAACCAGTTGATTTCCTTAAATATTTTAAATTTAAATTAAAATGACCCTGTATATTTCTTTTATATCCGTATTTGCTTTTTTAACATCTATACTTAGCTATTCGTTTTTATCGTTTCTGAGCTATCATTTCATCAATCTCTAGGTATTTCTATTATATTAGTTTTATCTTTAACTATCTTTGGTGGCCCCTTTGTACCCTTTTTCACTATTTTTTCCCTATCTAACCCAGGTTGACGGGGGGAGGCCGGGAGGATTTTGTCCTGTTTCAAGGTTAACATTTCTCTGTCACTGCTGCCAACCTTAGCTGATGATGGCGTTTGCTAAAAATAGTAAAACAATTTTCCAAATATTTTTAATGTAAACAATTACATTTGAAATATGGCAAAAAGTTTTAAGATAATAAAAATGAATTAATTGAATTAAATGTATTGGATAAATTTCTTAAAAAGGGATAACTTTTCAAAAAAAAAAAAAGATCAATAAAATAGGGACATTTTATCTTAAGGGGGGTTTTTAATTCATATGTTTGAAAATATAACTTACAAAATTTTTTAAAACTATATATAGTAAAGTTTAATAAATATATTTAAAATATCATACATAGTTAAATTTTTAAAGAGTGAGTTTTATTTATGATTATACTTGTATTTCTATGACAACAAACATATTTTACTGAAAACAGTCACAATCTACAGTTAATATATTACATTTATTATTAATGATAAAAAGTTATAAATTTATATCAAAAGTTTATTTTTGAAAAATTTCCTATAAACAAATTTCTCCCCCATCACCATCAACCCCAAAGCCTACAGCGCCCCTGCTGCCCCCCGAATAATGTCGTCTGGAAAAACAACACTTTTTTTTAGGAGTGTTTTTATAAAAACAGTGTGCATTAAAATTAATACTCTTAAAATAACTTC